AAATGCATATGACTTCCCCCCTAAACTCAAGATGTTGCTTGGACCAAAGAGATCCAGATGCAGAAGTTCCAAGGGTTTTGAGGTCGAAATAACTTGTTTGGTTTTAAAGGATGACTTTACTTGTTTTCCTTTAGTGCAGGCTTCACAGAAAAACTCCTTCTTGCAGTTAACCCTAGGTATTCCAGTTACTAATTTAAGACTTACAAGTTTTGACAGAGTCCCAACACTGACATGTCCAAGTCTCCTATGCCACTCCAACTGATCATTTTTGTCGACAGAGACTAAACACATTTCATTGAACATATTTTTATCACTTAGATTTATGCAAAACAATTTTCCTTTCCTCTTACCAGAAAACAGTATTTTTCCACTTTCAATGTTTTCCGCATAGCAGGTAGTTGGTTCAAAAATTACTCTATTTGATTCTCCACAGATTTGACTTATTGAAAACAGGTTATGCTTCAGCCCATCAACCAACATCACATTATTAATTTTAGGTGAAATTCCAACTTCCCCTTTACCAAGAACATCAGTGCAGAAGTTATCACCAAAATATACTTTACCTTTCTTTCCTTTAACCAGTTTTGTGAAAAGTTTTTCATTTCCAGTCATATGATGTGAGCATCCACTATCCAGGATCCACTCGCTGTCTTCCATGCTCACTTGGAAGCAGACCTAATCACATGAATATTGTTACTTTGTTTTAGGTAGCCAGACCAACTTAGAACCAATTACTCTATGTTTTGGATTATGACACTCATGACTTATATGTCCAGTTTCATTACAGTTAAAGCAAACTGTCGATTTCAACCTTTCTTCTCTAGCAATTCTCTTTTTGCAATTTGCAATGTAATGTCCATTTAAATGACAGTAAAAGCACTCAACTTGTCTTGAGCCCTGATTGTTTCTTTTGTACCAAGACCTATAGTTCTGTGTGCTTTTTGCAATTTTTGTAAGTTCTGATGCCCTGTTTTCAAGTTCCACATTTCTTTTTAGCACTTCAATCATGCGTCTCTCTAATTCTGATTTTTCTTCCTCTAATCTGGCATATTGTTTAGTTAGTTGTTCAAATTGTGATTTAAGTGTTGAGTACTTAATTTTCACAGTTTTGACTTCTAACTGAATGTCCCTTATAGTGTCATTCAACTGATCATTTTCACTACCAGTATCTGAGTAATAGTTCAGTGTCCTTACCTGAGATGAATTGCATTCATCGTCGCTTTCCCCAATGGCCATGTAAGCTTCTTGCCGTCGTCCAGCATCACCTTCTTCTTCATCTTCAGTGCAGCTCCAGGTGGCAGCATAGGCATTTTCTCGCTTTATCTGTGGGCATTCTGCTTTAATGTGCCCACTTCGTCCGCATTTGAAGCATCCCGCTTGAGGAACAGTCTTCTCAACTGATTCTCTTCTGAACCTTGAGTTTTGTCTGGGATGCCTGGCTTGATCTTTATCGGAATCAGCTTCCTTTGCACGACCACTTAAGCCTCTTCTTCTTTCCTTTCTTAATCTGAGCAGCTTGGCCACATGCTTGCTCAGCAACGCCAATTCATCGTCTTCCATGTCCTCTAATTTGTCAAATTCTTCTTCTTGTTCAGTGACCTTGAATGCGATGCTTCGTCTTTCCTTTCTTGAGTCCTCGTTTTCTTCTCGTCTCAGTTTGTCTTCGTGTGTGACTAGTGACCCCATTAGTTCATCCAAACTTAACTTCGTTAAGTCCTTTGATTCCTCTATCGCTGTGACCTTGGGTGTCCACTTCTTTGGCAACGCCCAGAGCACCTTTCGAACTAGATCGGCACTGGTGTACTCGACCTCCAGGTTTCTCAGGCTGTTGACGATAGTTGTGAATCTATCGTGCATCTCCTTAATGGTCTCATCAGACTTCATTACGAAAGCTTCGAATTCTTGCTTAAGAACATTTATCCTAGAGATCTTGACGTGGGAGGTACCTTCGTGAGCAATCTGGAGTTTGTCCCAGATTTCTTTCGCTGTTTTGCATCCCGAGACTCGATGGTATTCCTCAGGCCCTAAAGCGCAGTACATCAAGTTCGTGGCCTTCGAATTCAACTAGAAATTTCTTTTATCTTCTTCAGTCCATTTCCCTCGAGCTTCTTTGACTTCAAGAGGACCATCTAGCAGGATGTTCCAAAGATCCGGATCAGTTGAACCGATGAATAACTCCATCCGATTCCTCCAGTACCCGTAGTGCACTCCTTCGAACCGTGGCGGTCTTGTTTGAGAAAAGCCATCAGCCATGAATATTCCTCCTGTGTTTGCACTTGACCCCATCTCTCCGGAGGTTGTTAAGCCTAGTTCGCCGGAGCCGGGCTCTAATACCACTTGTTGGTGCAGACGAGCGCGAGGCTGCTGGTGCCTTTTCGAGCTTCTCCTACAAGAACCCTAGAATTTGGTAAATCGAAAGAGCAGCAATCGATTAGAATAAGGATCGATGCTTAATTTGATCTGAATGAAAGTAGAATAAGAAGGTCGAAATGGTTATTGGGCTAAAAGCCCAATTAGTCTTTTATATTTGGCCTGTCGAAGATTCCTTGGTGAAACGATGACGTTCGAATTAGTTCTTCCGCCTCCTGTATCTTGTTCTTCCTGTTCTTCTGTAAGTCTGCAAAAAGAATTGCTCTGCAAAACAGAGCTGAATTACAATATAAAGGAAATTGAAGAACAAAGATGAACACAGGGATTTTTACGTGGTTTCCGATACTGATAAATCAGTATCGACTAGTCCACGGTCAAAGGCACTATGTTTTGAGTCCTTTGACGTTACTATGATATTGTGTTTCGGATTACAGATTACAATCAATCTCTGAGTAACTCCCTGTTACTTGATCAGAACTTCCAATCGGAATTCAGCTCCCCGCCGGAATTCCAATTGCCCTTGACTAACCCTATCTCCCAGATAGCCACCTCTCGTTTCTTTCAATTTCACACAGCCAAACCCTTGTTTCTGCTATTTGAAAGTTTGCTTTCGAAAGGTATGAATCACTAATCAGACTTTGTTCCTATATACTCTTCTTTTTCAACCGTTGCCTTCAGATCCTATAAGATCAGTCTCTTGCCTGATTTCCCGCCTCATTACTGCTTTCTTCTTTTGGTTCTTGCTCGGTGTCCTTCAGTCAACCTTCCCATTTTATCGATGCCAGCAGACACAGCTTCCTCCAACAGAATCTCACCTGCGACCCGATTCATAAAAAAAAAAAGAATCTCACCTGCGTCACCAGAGCAAGGATTAAATGTGCACTAAATGTAAGTTCGCTGTATCTACAAATCGAAGGCTGGGAGTTGTCTGTTATTTTCCCCTTTCCTTTTCCTTTTCGAATTCGATTTCTTTTCACATTTTTTCCAAGTCGGAAACGGAAAAGCCATACTCAAACCTCTTATAAAAATCATCCGCCTTTCCAAATTCTCACTCACTGTGTAACTACCGATTCATTCTCTCGGAAGCCATCATCGCCCATCATCATGGTGTTCGCGTTTAGGCAAGTATGGAGGCACAATCTCCTCTCGGAGCTCGCCGATTTGGAAACCGCCATCCACCGATTTCCAATTCTCTCCATCGACGTTCAGCATCCTCACTTCAACAAAGACGCCATCAAACCAACCTCCCTTCCTCAACAAGCCTGCCTCTACCTCGTCAGTTACCTCGTCAACAGAACTCAGATGCTCCAGTTGGGTATCACGGCGGCCGACGGCGAAGGCAACATCGGCGGAACTTGGCAGTTCAACTTCCGGTACAGCGTTTGGGAAGCGGCGGTTGCCGCCAAGGAAGAAGACGACGCAGTCATCGATTTCGGGACCGATCGCGGCGACATCGAGTGGGAGAGAGTGGAATCCGAAGGAATCGACCCGCTTCAGTTCGCGGGCCTCTTCGTCGGCTTATTGGGCCGGGCCAAGCAGCAGCAGCAGCAGATCGAGTGGATCACTTACAAAGGCCTGTACGACGTGGCCTACTTGGTGAAGCTGGTTACAAAGGACGGCCAACTGCCGCAGACGGGGAAGGAGTTTTTCCGGGTCGTGGGCCGGGTGTTCGGGGCGTTGTGGATGTGAAGTGCCTGGCGGGTCATAGTCCGGGTCTAGCTAATACGACAGCGTTGCGAAGAGAAGAGCTGGCAAAGGAATTGGGGGTTCGTCGGCGAGGGAAAGCGCATCAGGCGGGATCGAACAGCTTGCTGACCAATCTCTTCTTCACCAAGATGAAGAGAAGGTTCTGGAAGAAGAAGTTGTCGGTGGATCAAGAGAGCCACAAGGGCTTTCTCTGGGGAATTAATTGCAGGGTTTGCCCCGTGCCGGAGAAAATCTCCGGCTACGTCGGAGGAGTAGTTGTAGAACACGTCGACAACTGCCGGTGTGCGGGATGTAGCTTCCCCGAGCAGCCGTTGTTTCGGTACGACCACCGATTGAGCTGCAGCTGCCGGTGCCGGAGTTGTGGATCCCGTTTGGTACCGGAGCAATTGTTTTCTAGGTATCGTGGTTATCACCCGGCGATTTGCTGCGACGGCAATTGCGCGGGTCGGCTGCCGGTGAGAGCGAGAAGGATTGTTGTTTATCAACCGCCGGTGATTCTTATGCGGAGGGAGTTCATCGTTCCGTGCTGTTAGTACTTAGTAGTCATCAAAGATAGGCTTCAAGAAAGAAAGCTTGATTGATTGATTGTATTATTCTAGCGGGAGGAAGAATCGTTACAGAGACATATGTAATCTTTTCTTCCTGCATCTGTAATTAGCCGAACTTACTGCTTTGTAATTATTATTACAGAAACTTAGTTAATGATAAATTACGTTCTTTGGTATCATTGTTTATCTAGAATGATATGGATGGAAAGAGAGATTTGAAATCCCAAAGCAAATGACAACGATTAACCATCCATTAGACAGAAGCAACAACAAGACCATCATCATCATCTTTGTTCGAGGTACCACATAATCCAGATTCCAGACACGGACTCTTTACAACAAAAGGGAAACGGAGGAAAATCGGGTCGGATTTATTTAGAGGGACAAGCCGGACTCTTCGTCCTCGTCTAGACCGGAGGTGTAGACGGTGTAGAGGGTCCAGATGAGCCCGAAGACTCCCAATAGGATCCACCCGAGGAGGTTGTTGCTCAGCCCAAAGGGCAGCCCAGTTCCTTCAGTGCTCATCCTCTCGTCCACCAGAGCCATCGCCGCTGGGCTCGACGCAGCTGCTGCGGCCACCGTCGCCATCAGCGAAGCGCTCATCATCCCCTTCTTCTCCCACCCGCTGCCGTTGCTTCCGTTTCCTTCCGCCGAGCACTTCACCACTCTCCCTCTCTTCGCCATCGACGGCAGCCCTGCACATCACCCGATAGATTGAATTTCTTGTTTCCCCCAAGTTGAATTGATAAAAGCCAGAAGTAATTGTGAATTTCAGGGGAGGGGGGCGTCAAGAGTACTCACCGAGAACTGGGGCGGAGGAAACCCCTAGAGAGGGGTTGCGACGGAGAGATGCATGGATGAAGGAAGAAGCTGTGGTGGTGGTGGAGATGGACGCCATTTTTCACACTCTGACCCTGGGAAGGAATGAAGGAAGGGATTAGGGTGGTAGCTGGTTCTGTGAGAAGCAGAGGTAAAAATGGAGGAGGTGATGAATTTGCACAGCTTAATACTGGTGTGGGTCCCTCCTAAAACGGAAGGCAGCCACAGAATATGGATTGTTGGATAGATAGGCAGCCGCCCGTTTCGCATCCGTAATCTTACTAGGCCAACCATATCTCTCCACGTGTTTCGTCATCCATCTCTCCCCTGAACTGTGATTGAGGTCAGGTTGCCCAAGCCCAACACCAACAAGGCCATCACCCCGGCCTTCTCAGCAAAAGGGCCTGTTGGTTGAATTCAGCCATGATTATGAGGCCCAAGAATCTTCAGCCCAATAGGAATGAACTCCAACTCATCCATGAATTATTTACAGGCTACAAAACCAATCCCATTTCATGCACCAAGAAACTCTTCTCTCTATTATTGAAATTTCCGTATAGTGTTGGTTGCTATAATACTTGTGTCATGTCACCTCCTAATCTATCTTACGCTATCACAATTCTAACTCATGAAAGAATCTAAGGTAAGAACCATTCCAATGTTTCCTCACTCTTCGTATATGAAACTAAAGAATTATCCTCTCGTTGTCATCATCGCGGTCATAGATCATCATCGGCAGCAGCTGTAATGTCATCTCGCCATCCATATAACTCGTCAGTCAGTCAAGCGAAGCCTACGGATGGATATTGCACTGCTGAAAATGTGGATTGTCATAGTTGAGGTAAGCAGTCCAGTAACTCTTGTACTTAGGGATCCCAATATCCAACCATGGCTTCCTCACTCCATCGTAATGCAACACCGCTGCATCCTCTATCCCGTCGCCAGCCCCGACGCCGGACTCGTACCCTAGCCCTAGTCTCTGCCATTTCTTATCCAATCCCACCGTCCGGTTGTAGAATGTTGCCCACCCTAGTCCCAGGCTCCCACTTTTCCACAACCCTCTTTTGCTCCCCTGCCAATTCAACACACAGAACAAACATCCATTAATAACCATTGACAGCATGCACTGTTCCTTTCATTTGTCAAACATTAAAACCGCAAGTTACTCCACGCTAACTTTCATTAATAACCGTTGACATCTGGTGAAAACCATTTCTATCATTATTAATAAGCAGTCATAAGGTGATTGGAGGGAGTTAAGAAGCACGAACTTCCATACCATTCGCAAGTATTTGTGGTAGAGGGCAGTTAAATCTCGTCTCCTCCACTCTCTGAGGTCAAACAGATTCATCCCAAACGCCCACGTGCATGCACCGGCATCCAATCTCCTGGCAACGTTCGGATCTGAGAAATTGATTAGCATATCCATTCGCCGGAAAGAAGGGTCACTCTCGTGGCAGGTTTCAACAGCTGCGTTGACTTTCCCCTTCAAATCCACACCCCAAAGCCCTGCTAGATCCCTTCTCACCACCACATCGTGGTCCAGCAGCACAATCTTACTCAACTCAGGGAACACGTCCGGTAGATAGAAACGAAGGTGGTTCAGCTCGGATGTGTATCTCGGGTCTGTCGAGTTCTGCTTCTTCAGTATCGTGTCGTAGTTTGCTGACAATGCCTCAAAGTTGTCGACGCTCTGGACATGTATTGTAGCCTTCCCAGGTGGGTATAACAAGAACCACATCGAGATCGCCGGGAGGTTCAGAGCATTAGTCACCACGTGAAAAACGACTTTTCCTGTATCCTGTCAGGAGTTGAACAATATTACACAGTACATATTAAGTTCCTTTAGCATAACCCACAAACGAGTCATGAACTTTGCAGTTATAAGCAAGCAGTTTAAATAAAATGGAACTCTGAATAATATGTAAATCGTTAATACATAGTACGGGAACAGATTTATCACCTACCCACCTGGAGATAGCTAATGAACAAATTTGCAAGGTAGCATGAAAGCATGCAGTTGTACTTTACCTGGGCAGAAGAGACTGTCGAATTCACAACCACTGCAGAAGCAAGAATGTTGTCCGAGAAAACGGCGTAGTGGTGGAGATTGGGATCATGTACTTTTTGTTGATTAGGGAACTGTCTTTCATCTGGCGACAGGGCAAAGTATTCAGCAGTGAGCCGTAGGGAAAGACAGTGATAGCCTTTCGGTGTAGTCCTTGCTGCAAGTCCTAGAAGATATGTTGCTTCATTTTTATGCGCCCGAACCTGTTCCTCCGCATTGTAAGTCATAGCACGGAGCTTCTTAGCAATGGCCGTACAGTCTTTGTAAACTCGGTTGGCTTTGAACAAGGTGAATTCCATGGCCTTCGTTTTCTGTAGTGCACTGGAATTATTTAAAAAAGTTGTCAGAATCTGAGTATCAACTTCTTTTTCCCCATATTAACTCCAAACACAAATCTTAGCTTGAAAAAACATTACGGCAAGGTCATTGAATGCCTCATTCTTACTAGTCAAGAAGTAATTTGACACAACTTATGAAGTTAATACAAGTATCTGGTGAGGAAAAAGTGAGTATACCTCCTAGGAAGATCTGTGTCCTTGGCACCTTCACTTGCATACCGTTCTAATTCTTTTATCCGCTGCCTCAACTCTTTTACTAGGTGGGAGTTGCTTCCAGGTGGTGTTAGAGTCAAGTATGTTTTAGCTTGAATGATCTTGTCTTGTATCTCCTTTACCCTACGATCTGTTTGTTTCTGAGAAGCACGTCTTATGCTTTGATCTCTCGAACTTCCCTGATAAACAGTGAAAACTAACATAAGTTGAGCAGCTGCCTTTGCTCATCATAAATCCATCTTAGGACACACCAAACTTCACAGTATAAAAAGAAAAGAGTTTCCAACATGTGACAAAGTACATTAAATCAACAATCAGTAGACAGACTTAACAATAATGTTATATAAGTAGGTCAGCATGTGGTTTAAGAGAACCTAATGAGCAAGAGGGAACAGGAAAAGGTAGCCTTAGTGTTTAGAAAGGTCTGAAACACTTGATGATGGATTATGATTGTTCATGATTGATTGATTTCCGTTGATTGCCCTTGGTTAATACTACCTACTGCACATGAATAAAGATAAAGCAGACTGCCATTTCCTGGTCAGCCAAAACTTAGTTTTGACAAGCAAGCTACCAGAAGTTTCACACTCTGTGTTCTATCACATGTCTACAGTCACATACAACAGAGCACTAAGGGAGAATTCAAAACCCTCGTAGACAGATTGCATGTCCAACCTCTTACATACCAGACACTTGAAGCAGATTAATTGCCACACGTTTATAGTTCCATGCTCATAAAAAATGTTGGAAGAAACTAAGTTCACTTAGAAGCTGCTTTGGAATGATATACATACCACTGTATCTGACCGTGATGGTACTTTAGAGTTAGACCGGTTTTCTTTCCCTCTTTCGTCATTGGTTCCTGAAAACCATGGCTGCAATTAGACACTTAATCCACTAACAGTGTAAGGCAGAGTTAAAAAGCCAAAGAATGCACTGCTGACCGTTGCTGCCTAAAAGAATAGTCCTGTCTCCAGTATTTTCAGGTTTCTTAGAATCAGTTGTGTCATCCGTACTTCTGTGCTGAGTAGAATCACTATTGACATTACTAGTACCTAAGCTAACAAGAGACCCCAAATCCTTCTCTCGGTAAACAATCGGTTTTGGTTCTACCAAGCCTCCATCTGCTTCCTACATCATGAGGCACCAGATTTGGAAGGCAAAGGCAGTTAGTGTCATTATAAAGGCAGGAATATGAAAACCACACAAAATCATGAATTATCTGTACCTCAATTGCGTGAAGCTGTGATGACTCAGCCCTGTATTTCTGAGCCAAAAAAGAGAGAAGGGAGGGCCAGAATCAGAAATAAATTATCATCCCCACATTCCGTCTATCAATAGTAACACCAACTTTATTATGGTTGATCTAGGATTTCAGTAATCTTAAAGCCATGAGAAAAAAGCTTTCTTTCAAGTTCAAAGAGTAAAACGAAGACACCTGGTTTGCAGTAAAATCAGGATCTCCACAATAACCAACCAAATTCAGGAATGGCTAAAAAAAGCTGCATTTCTACTCTTTATATCCTTCAGTTTCGGGAGGTAATAAGAAGAATAAAACAGTGGGGAAAGAAAGTCCTACCAGGGTTGAAATATCATGAGCCAACCCTCTCCTTCCTGAAAAAACAACAACACGAGGAAATAGAAGATTCAATCAATCACAAGAACTGTAGCTATATTATCAAGCAACTGCAGAGACCATTAGTTTTAGAGGACATAGAATTCATCGCCGTTGCAATCCAATTCCATATTTCTCTCCTATCTCCTCACGGAGATCCACTGCAATCAAGCGATCACTTGGATTCCCATCAAGAAGCCAAGCAATGACCTTCCAGCAGAAAATTCGCCATTCCCGACTCAGCGTGCAAGCAGCAACCAGAGTCGCCAAAAGAATTGATCATACTGAAAAGAGGGCTTACCGAAAGAAGCGAGGAAACTGGCTCCATTGGAGAGGAAAACAATTGGAGCGAGCACAGTGACAGAGAGCAAACAGAGGATGAAAACCCTCTGCCTTTGACGGGCTTTCTTCATCAAGACGCCAATCCAACCCCTCTGTCCTAAACCTTGCCTCTCTTAAACCAAACCAAACCAAGAAAAAGGAAATCTAACTGCCCTCACCGCTAGGGTTTCTATTTCCACCCCTTACTCTGGATCAAAATCGCTCGGTCCAGAAGGAACAAGTTTGCCGGCAATGAGAAAGAATCACGGAGATTCGATGCTTTAACAGCAAGGATGGAGGAAACAAGAGGCCTAGGGTTTCAGGGGTCCTTCTTCCTCTCTCTTACGCTTTGGGATTTCAGATGAATTACAGCGCATAGAGAAGGGAGAGAGAAAGAGAGAGTCGGAGAGTTCTTTCCATGTTCGGCTCTGTGAGGAAGGACGGAGATGGCCGCATTTCTGTTTTGGTTTTCCCCTTTCCCCCCTTTTTGTTCTTCTCCTATTATTTACTTTTTTCCTCCACGAATAAAATTACTTTCTTTTTTTGCCCTGAGCAGGTATTTATATTACTCTGGACTCTGAAGGAGAGCGTTTGGAGATTCGAGATACGAGAATGACGACTGGCCGGGGCCGAGATGAGCGCCAGAGAGAGAGAGAGAGAGAGGTGGAAAGAGACGATTGGGTGAAAGTTGAAACGGAGGAAGTAATTTTACAGTAAGTCCCTGCAACTTTACATCGATTCTAATTGAGCACTGAACTTTGACTTAATAAGAGTTTGGTCACTTTCTTATGACCTACTAGGCTACTACTACAATCAAAACTCAAAAGTGTTAGCCCGACATGTGTATAGGCATTAGGCAGTAGGCACGGCACACCAACAGTCCAACACCTATTAGGGTTTGGTTCACTAGCAAAGTAAATTAGTAAAGTCAGATTTGTCATTTTCTCTTACATTATAAAATGTTATTATTTTAGATTTAGCGAGCATGCACGTAATGATCGAGCTAAGTTTTTTTTTCCCTTTAAGATTGTAGTTTGAGACCAGTTTGGTGAGTGAGTTTAATAAAATTATTTTATATTGAATCATAACAACGCGGTAGCATATAAGTTGTATAAAAAATAGAAGAAGTTACTAAAGATAACATATATGGTGAAGTAGGGTGGTGGGAAGGAGCTTATGATGATTAACGCTAAGTGTGTTTTCTAACATTTTTTAGTTTATGCTATGAGCCGACCATTTCTCTAATCCCAGTGAATGCTGGGGAAAGAGTCATATGACTTTTATTATGATAATATGGATTCGACTTGTTGGATAATTTCGAATGAGTTGACTTGCTTTGGAGTCAAATTCAGGTTTGGATGCAGTTAATATTGAGACTTCTTACGCAGAGGATATGATATTTTGTTTCAAACTTTTAGAAAACTCAGATCGTTTGGTTAAGAAAAAACTTGTTTTATGTTCTTGTCATGGCTGCTTTGCAAACTTGATATGCTCTAAGATTTACTATAAGTAGTGGAGACTCAATGTTGAGCTAGTGATCTCTCATCGCTGCCTTTCTCTTCCATTCTTCGGGAGGTTTATTATCTTCCACGCATGGATCCAAAGCATTGAACCAAAATTGCATCTTGTAAGTCTATGCCAGCTGCCAGACCCTTCCTAAAGGAGATTTTCCCATAGTTTTCCCATTGTTTAAAGTTCAAAAACTTTACCAGGTTGCTTACCAATACCGCTACGAGCTTAATACGAGCTTAATATATAACTTTACACTTGTAATACCATGTGAATGTAAATATAAGATCTAAAAAATATTGAATAATACCACAAAGCATAAGTCCTGGCACCTAAATAAGTAATAACTAGAGCCTATAATGTAAGCCCGTAATACCAAAATTTTGAAAATGGAAACTCTGACATCGAATACTTTGCACCTTAACCCTAAATCCATGACACCAATATGAAGACTAAATCCTTATATTTTGTTAGGTTAGAATGAAATAACATAAGACTTAAACCCTAAATGAAACCATAGATATTAATCCCTAACATCTAAATACCAAAACCTTAAATCCTAACACCATAACACCTTAACTAAAACCATCAGACAACTCAAGAGCCTAGCAAACTGAACAAATTGTAGCTTAAGTTGGCTCTCGAATCAGTAGACAACAAGTCGAGTGAATTTTCCTAGAGTTGGATGCGAGTGGCTCAGTTCATTAGCAACCCTACTAGGGTCAATGCATCTAAGTAATAACTCTATCCAAAATGTCAATATTATCTCAGTGTATCTTATACAAATGATGCTTGTAACACGATATTGGATTAGGTGCACAATTTTCATCTACATAATCCGACATAAACCCCTATTTACTAGAGGTGATACGATTCTCACTAGTATGGTCAGACACATTGTATCACTACAATAACAGTCACATCACCCTTAGTACATGGGGTTTTGCACTTGTAAGTTGTAACACAACATTTGGTGAATGAAAGAGATATTATTTTCAATAATTCATAACTAGATAATTTATTTTCTTTTTGAACAATATATGTCATTTCTTCTTTTTAGAGTAATTAACTAGAAATGGTAGCCAAAATAGACAAGGAAACTTTTATGGAGGATAGAATGAGGTACTTAAATTAGTTGAAAACTATGGAAACCTATTTCATGTCAAATGTCCTAAATCATTGAAGCTTTTAACTTGGCAATTGGATGCCATTGGCAGTATACTACACCCATCATAGCGATGAATGATGAAGCAACAACATTAATTTTATGTATTTAACACTGAAAAAAAAAACAATTGTCATATAGAAGGTATCGAAAAGTCTAGCATAAATTTCGTTGATAAATGATAATCGATGTAAATTATTAATGACCTTCCTTCTTAAACTACACATATAGTAGTATAATTCACGTTCTAATAACGCACACTTTAGCAGTTGTAATTAAGAAATCTTGTATTCGACCATTCTCAATCCAAGCATAACCATGTGTATCAACGATGACTTGTTAGAACAACAAATGTAAGAAATCGTAATTGCTCTTGTTAAGTTTGACGAATGGAAATTCTTGTTCAGAAATGGAAGATTCATGATCGAAGTGTAACCATTACTGAGGATTAGTAGTTTAGTACCAGGAAATGAATTGTGGCAGATGGTGGTGGGCTGGTGCCTGGTGGGATTACCTGGGCTGGGCAATGGCGAGCGACTAGGACAAGTTGAAGACGGTGATTGGCGGCTCATGCTTAACAAATTTCGCCAGTTCCATCACTGCTCTTTTGACAGTTCTCAGAATCCAGTGGTCCACTCTTCTTCTGCAGGCCAAGACGTGGCCGCCTGCCATTGCATTTTTCATGTTTTTTATTTGACAGAAACTTGATCCCCTTTCGAGGAGAAACTTGCGCTAGTTTCTTTTTTATTTCTCTAATCTTAATTGTTTATCGGTTATAGTTGACATTAGAACAATGTTTGACAAGGTTGTCAACACGGTTTAGCAATTCGTCAGGTCGAGCAAGTGAGTTGAGAGAGTTAATAATTCAATAGATTTAGTCCAGATATATGAAAAAAATTATTGTATTGATCATACATTTATAAATTATATCAAATCTAACATATAATATTATATCAAAATAACAATTTATACTTGGATCAAACATATAGTGAAAATTCAAACACTAATATAATATTAATATTCAAATGTTCAACTTTAGAATCCAAAAATACGGTTAGGTGAAGGAGAAAACCAGAAAAGAGACACTATTTTACACCAACTAACAAGACGGTATATCAAACACACAATCTCTTGTGCGTTGAACGAGCCTCCCCGCCAGCTAGGCTACCCTTTATTCGCATAATTGAATCTTAGTTTCCCTCTTATCTAACATCTATATTTTTGTTTGCATAATAATATTATTTTGAACCAACATTTTTGTTATTTTTGTGTGGCTTTCATAGCCTTACTTACGTTGTACCTTTCACTACTATATTTTCCCGACGAAATCATTTCAAGCAGAGTGCACGAGTGGAGAAGTATGAATAAGTTGTACAAGCTGCACAATGCTGAGGAAGAAGAAGAAGAAGAAGTGAAAAAGACTTTGTCTTGGCTCGGTTTACATGTGGGGCAGGCTTCCTTTTATCATAAAACATGGGATAAGCCCAACGTGTGTGCCACCATTCATTGCACAAAATCGGGTGTTGGAAGAGATTTTAGTGATCCTTGGTGGGGTAGGCCTACAAGGTGAAGCTAAGTTGTCTCTAATGCAAGTAAAATTCCACCCGTTGAACGATTTGCCTACTCGAGGATGTGTTTTTAAGGGCACGGATAGAGCTTCCGGCCACCCTTAATTTCATTGACCCTCCACGCAAAGTGAGGAATAGGAGTTGAAAGAAGTACTCTGGCGAGCGACATATGTATAGAAATTGCTCTTGCTCGCCTAATAAGGGCAGACCGCGCATAAAAACTACATTTGGAACCCCAACAAAAGAAAACAAGAGAAAAAGAAACAAATAATAAAGGAAATGGGTTCCAACAAGTTAGATGAAATGGAAGAGCACCCGATACAAAGATTCTTTGGTCGTTAAATTGTGAGAGTCTCCTTATCCATGAACTGACTGTCTTAGTTCCACTGCTTCTCATGATCCTGGCTTGAGTCTAATACTCGCATTGATAGAGATAGGGAACGTCTTAGAAGACCATTTGACCTCGTAAGTTGCTAAATGATCTAGGAAATCCTCTACCGACGATCGAGGTTGCTTGTTGCTGTAAAGGTCTGGAGAGCTGCATTGGTTTGAGTCAGGTTTGCTTGGGGACAAGCAAACAGTTAAGTGTGGGGGAATTTGATGACTCAATATTTGCACATGTTTTTGTCCACCATTCTTATACTGTTTGAGGCTTGGATCTCGGGTTTTAAGCCGATTTTACGCTAGGTTGTTTTTGTTTATGACATTTCAGGTCTTAATGCGTGAATGAAGGTTTGAGCACGAGTTTGGAGTAGATTGGGCCAAATCGGGATGAGCGAAGAGAGACCAGACAAGTTGCACGGCCAGGACGGAAAGCGCACGGCCGTGCATGGTGACCTTTGTGGCCGTGCAGGATTTACCGAGAAGCTGCATGGCCTGACCCTGTTTTTTCGCACGGTCGTGCACGATGACGTTGTGGCCGTGATGATTTCTGCGAGAGAGTTACACAGACAGGCTCTCGGATTGCACGGGCCGTGCAACCCCCTGGTGGAATTAAATGAAACGATGCGTTTTGGGGGTGCACGGGCAGACTATGAGATTGCACTGCCGTGCGGTCTGGCCATGCAATCGAAGGCAGCTGCATAAAAACCCAATTTCGGGTTTTGGAGAGGGAGAATCGAATTTCCAGAGCAAAAACAAAGTCCTAGAGAGAGTAGGTGCGAAGAACAAACCCTAGAGGTGATTTTGAAGATGGGTTTCATCAATCAAGCTTGGATTTCATCCATGGAGTGAAGATTATCATCCCAAAGTAGATTCTTCCCATCATTATGAGTATGACTGCTTTGTATTATATTTTCCTCTATCTCTATGGAGTAGAACTCCCTCTCACTTGGGTATGAAGAACCCTAGTTCCATGTGCTAGGGATTTGAGTTGTAATGACTTTTGGATTGCTATACTGCTTGATTATAATCGATTGAGGCATGATTTATTGAGTCAATTGAAGCCTGATCAACTTTTCTTGATTTCTGCTGCAACCTGAGATAGATAGAATCTGATTAGGTTGTTAGAGCTTCTTCAATCGGTAGTAGTGAATTGATTATATGAGAGTTAGTCAATCCACTGCTTTGTACTGGAATTCATTCTAGTAGTGGAGATATGTGTGAATCGCCTTAGCAGTCTATCCACGTGAAGGCTAGTTGCCTGCCGGGTATTCTGTCTAAGAGGGCTTGGTCAGCTTAAGAGATTCCAAGCTAATTTAGGATCTTCCGCAGTTTAATCAACAGTAAATCAACCAAAGGGAATTAC